ATACCAGGGGTGTCAAAAAATGCATACACATGACTTGCATCATCTTTTGTTATCAGTATGTATTGAGTATTACAATTTTAATACAGTTTGTTCCTTTCTTAAAATGTGTACACATTTTTTATACCCTCTGTAGTTTTATGAAATAAATAGAAAACATTTAAAAAAAAAAAAGAATGGAGATAATGACAATTCTAGATTTGATCAGGCTATTGTGGGGCTTAAATTGATGACAGTAGTTTCCTCCAGCTCAAGGCTGTCCTGCTGCTCCTGGCCAGAGCTACCCGTCTCCCCAAGTCCACCAAGCTTGTTGCTGCCAGCAAAGCCATCCCACGCCTGCTGCTTATTACATTGCTGACCTGGTCAAAACTCTAATGACTGTACCGCCTATCAGATGATTTCCAAATTCTGTAGATTTGAATTCAGAGTTCTCCATCATCTGAAAAACAATCAAACCAGCCATGAAACAGGTATAAAGCAGTAAATAAAACCATTTGTAATTCTATTATGTGTGTGGAAGGGGAGGTTGCTATAAAACAGTTTTTAGTATTTGCTGTGTACCACGCATTTTCTGTGTACTGTCTCTTTTAGTCATCACATCAATCCTATGGTTTAGGCATATGATTTTCTGTGTTTTCCAGATGAAGAAACTGGAGCTTTGAGAAGCCATAGAGCTATTAAGTGACAAAAATCTAGTTTTGAACATGCCATTCTGACTCTAAAGCCAGGCTCTTAACCTCTCCACTATAAAACTCCAGTACACTTCATGTATACTCGTATATAACGTTTTAAAGATACCTGGTACGGTATTGTACGTAGAGTACTTTTCCTTCATGATTTAAAATAATTGAGATATAAAACACATTCATTGAGGTTCATGTAGTTCAAAAATCATAAGGATAAAACTTAATCCACTATATATATATATTTTTTATTTTATTTGCCACAGCTTTAATACAAAGTAATTACTACCTATATCAAATTAGAACATTTCCAGAACCCCTGGAAAGTTTTGTTTTCTTACACTACTCCCTGTCAACATCAGTCCTCCCACCCCCATTCTGACTTCTTCACCATCGATTAGTTCTACCTGCTCTTGAAATTCAAATATTTGGAATCATATAATATATATTCTTTTGGATCAGGCTTATAATGCTCAATATAACATTGGTGAGAGTCATCCATGTTGTTACATGTATCATTTGTTCCTTTATTTTATTGCTCTGTAACATTTCATTGCATGCACGTACCGCAAGTTATCATTCTCCTGTTTCACATTGAGTTTTTAGGGGTTTATTTTCTTCCGTTTCTGGCTATTATGAATAAAGTGCCTGTGAACATTCTTGAACATGGGCATATACCTGTATTTCCATTTCTCTTGGGTACATACTTAGGAGTAGAATTGCTGAGTCATATGGTAATTCAGTGTTTAAACTTTGGAGGAACTGCTTATGGTTTTCCAAAGAGGTTGCCCATCTTCATTCCCACCTGAAATGTATGCGAGTGCAGTTTCTCCACATCCTTACCAACACTGTTACCTGTCTTTTGATTCTAGCCATCCTAGTGTATCTCATGGTATCTCATTGTGATTTTGATTTACATTTCCCTAATGGTTAATAATGTTGAGCATCTTTTTATGTGCTTATTGGCCATTTTTATATGTTCTTTGGGGAGATATCTATTCAGACCCTGTGCCCATTTTTTTTTTTAATTAGGGTAAAAAAAGACCATGGAAAGCATAGTAAGGTTCTTTAGAAGAAAAATCTATTATGGGATATAATGGACTCAGGGCTACCCCAAATCATCATTTGTGACTCATGTTGCCATCCTGTCACATGTCTGAGATATTTACATGGGTTAAATCAGCTTTGAAAGGATCCAAAATGGCGATGTGACCTCAAAGGGATAATATGCATGACAGAAACTGAAGGCTGTGAGTCCAAGGGAGTAGGCTGGGGGCTTCGCTGAGGTGAAGGTATTAGTAGTGGGATACGTGAGGTGACTGCCTGAATCAGAGCTTGTGGCATTTTTCTTTTAAACTCTCTTTTTGGGCACCGCCCTGGTGGGAGAAGGAAGCACTGCCTGATCCCAGTAAAATGGCAATACCTATGAATAGTAATGAGTTGCACACACAGTAATACCTAGATCAACCATTAAAAAAAACCTGTGCAAAAACATTTAATAACAAACACTGTAGATAAATTAATATTTAGGTGAATTCACCAGTGAGATCATCTGAACCTAGAAGACTTTAAATTACAGATTCTATTTCTTTAACTGATAAAAGACTGTTCACATTTTCTGTTTTTCTTTTGTCAGTTTTAATAAGTTGGGTTTTTCAAAGAATTTGTCCATTCCATTTTAAGTTGTAAAATATTGACCTACAGTTATTTATAATATTGTCTTGCTATCATTTTAGTGACTCTAGAATGTGTAGCACTATCTCTTTTTTAATTTTCTGATATTGGTGATTTATTTTTTAATAGATTATTCTTGCTAAGCGTTTGTCAACTTTATTAATCTTTTCAAAGAACGGACCTTTAGCTTTGTTGATTGTCTTCATTGTACA